TATGCATGACATAAATGATAGAAAGTTGTATGCAACTACATGTATACAGTATGTGCCAAATACAATTTAAGAGATTCAATATGAACATAACATTTTAAACTGCTTTTTTAATGAAGATATGAGGTGCAAAAACACTTAGATCAGAATTCTTAATTGGATTCTCACTCTTCAAATCTTTTCCTCCCGCTATCTCCAATTCACTCCCTGTGTCTCTGTAGTCTGCCGATATGCTTTGGTTTGGAAATGTCATGTTTTGATGTGCTATATGAGCTGTCCAATCTAATGATGGTCTTATCTTTCCCACTGATAATTGCACCTGATTGAAGACAGTCTGCATGTGTGCATGCACATTAATATGCTTCAAAGAACTATGGCTAGAGAGAGAGAGAGAGAGAGAGAGAGAAAGGAATAGCAAAGATAAGGAGGAATGACATTTTGAAGTTATTACGGAAGAAGGAGGTTTGTCATTTAATAGGGAAAATAGTATTTTGAGTGTATTATGTAATACTTTTTTAGTGAGGTACTATCAAGAGACACTTTTTTCTAATATTATAAAATAATTGTCTGTAAGTGTTTGTTCAGGTTTTTTGAATATCTTTTAAGGATTAATGATGGGTCCTCCCATTTTTGTAAAACTTTAAGGATAATAATCGCCATGTACATATAGGCCCGCTAGCTCTTATTTCATGTATAACTCCTTTCTCTATACATGTACATTCCATTATACATTTAGTTATGAATATAATGTATTCTCAGTAATTAAATCTGAAACTTCAACGTTTCTTCATATCGACATCCAATTTCTGTTACAAAAGATTAATATTGTATTGAATTAGGATTTTGAAGCAGCATTTGGCATGTGACATAGGCTGTTAGCCTGTTCAAACACTGGTTCCATTTGAGATGCAAGAGGCAACATGCTCTTTAAAGATCAGTGATGCCCTCCCTCCCGCCGATGATGCTGTCATATCGCCGTGGTGATAACACTGTCTGGCCGCTGGTGGGATGAGTGGGTTGGGATGGCATCCTGCAGCCCTGCGCTCTATAAACCAATTAATGTCTGCTAATTGAACTGGATTCCGTACATTGTTTGAATCCACCTAATGCTGACATAATGATGCCATCCACTCAGTAATGCTCCCGAGTGGAGACAGCCGACGAATGTCAAAGGTCACAGAATATGATTCAATCGCATCTCATCTCATACATGGAGGACAAAGCAGAGAGCGAGTAATGAGAATGATTGAGTCATATTGATGTTGGTGAAATTGACCGTGTCTTGGATCTATTGCGATTGATGAAAACGTAGAAGATGATATCAGAGATGGAGAGGAGAGAAAGATATGAAAATAAGATAAGGAGGATGAAGTTGTGATTGTTTGGAAGAAGATGATGAGGATGAGGATGAGGATGAAGATGATGATGATGATGATGATAATTGAGATGATTACAATGATTATGATGATGATGGTGATCCTTGATGATTATAGTAGGGTAGAAATCTAGAATAAAAATGCTGCTCGTGTCAATAGTAACAACGGCAGTGGCTGCGAAACATTACCTGTTAACTACATTTATAGACATGATTGCAATGGTACAGCCCTCAATATGTTGTTCCTTGCACTTCAAAGACATTAGCAGAATCGAAACCATGTTACCCTTTCCAAGCCTCAGTTGAATCAATACGTGCAAGTCCTCAGAGATTCGAACAAATCCCGACTTCACCTTATTCCTCTCTCAAACTTTGAACATATCAAGTTGTTTCAAAGGTATGGCATTTTGCAACGAGATTCCTCATTTTGTTTATATGATCCCGAAGAAGAAGAAGTTTATTTTCATTCGCATCAACTCCCAAGTTTCTGTCAGTTCAGCTTAGCAACATCTCAGCATCTTCTACCTTACTAGAGCTGTCTGTCTTGAACATGCCTGTTCATACTCAGCACAATTTATACGAAACTTGTGTAAAGAAACGTTGTATAAATAATTTTGAATAGTAAAAGAGGCATACACATGTGGAAAGAGTATCGTTTGAAGAAACTAATTTTGAAGATGTCATTTGTCATAGCAGCTTGGCCAATCATCAGTATGCGCTCAGGATATTAAGCCCCGCCCAGTTATCCGGTTTTGATACGAAACTATTTTCACACTAGAAGTGGACCATGATTCTTCATTGAGTTTACATTGGAACGATGCTCAGACCTCCATCTTTGCAACACAATGTTTCGTAATCTGACGTTCAGACCAAAATAAGTACATAAAACTACACAATGATTGTCTTAGTCTGAACAACATCTTTTTTTCTCAAAGTTCAGGCGGGAGATTCTTCAGTAATATGATCGAAGAAAGACATGCCAATTAGACTTAGTAATAAGCTGGTATGGATGGCAGCCTCGATCCGGGTCATTTTTTTTTCTCTTCTTCTTCCCTATTTTTGACCCTATTTTTCATCTCTTCATCAATCCTCCTAGCTCGCTCTCTGCTATTCATCCATATGCTCTATTTTCTAGTTATTTGCCTCAATTTTTCCTTTTTCTTGTAAATATCACTTCACAGAGTTACCTTTTCATTCTTTTGTGCCAATTTAAGGTCCCCCCCCCCCCCCCCCATCTCTCTCTCTCTCTCTTCTTTCATGCATATTTCCCGTTATTTTTCCATCCACTCACCTCTTTCTCTCTCTCTCTTTCTTTTCCTCTTCCACTCGTACCCAATCTCAGTCATGGCTGTGCATGCATTTGCCCTGTGTCCGAGGGCAGACTACGTTACTTACAACCCGCTCTTACCTGCAGGGAGAATACGAGAGGAACGCTTTAATTAAACCCTAACACTGCTACCGATACCCCATATAACTAGTAGCCTGTGAAACTAGGCGAACACGTTAGAACTCTCAGACACCTAACCCCCCCCCCCCCCCATGCATACCAATACCCTGCAGATTCCCAAGAACAAGTCTTGCATCATCAGACACTGGAGGTCTATGAGTAAACATTATGTAATTTTTGTGAGAGAGATGGTTAAAACTATTCCTTCGGGTGAAAGATACATCTGTTCTGTTCAATAAAACAAATTTTGAGTTGAATGGAATACTAATCTTTCACTAAATTCAATTTTTGGTTTGTTTGCTTAAGAAAATTTCAATGCATTTCATTTTTTCTCTCAATCCAATGTGTACTCAGTAATCAAGCTGTAAATTGTAACAATCGATGCACTTGGAAGATTTATATTGAAAATCTATACATATGCATCGGTGGCTTATAAGTCCTACTTATAACAGGAAAATATGTTTTAAAATATTTTTTATAGCAGGCTTCTGGGGCCTTTTTCAGTAGAAGTTTGGGAAGGGGGAGGAGGGGGGGGGGTCACTATTTGTCCCTTGTGATGTATTTAGAGCATTTAGGGGGGTTGCTACAAAATACAAACAAGTTTAATTCTCTTCAAAGTGGTTGAAAGCCTTTTAAAAGCCAGGCTGTGTACATGTATGCTTCACACGTCGTCCATCAGTATAGTATGTCTCATCAAATATCCAGTAAGAGGCAAGTGGAGATAAAGAAAGCCAAGTCATGCGAGTGCCACTGTCACTCGTGAAGTAAGATGACATTCATGCCTCGTTACACTCCCTGCCAAGGTGATCATTCAGTCCAAGGGGCCCCCTTTCACACTGGAGAGAGAGATTTATGGATTCCCCAACTTTGAGGATCAGTCATGTGCCCCTTTTACACTCCAAAAATTTACTGATACTCCTTCCTCTGTAATCATTCTTGGGGGCCTCTTTTGAATGAGTTACAAAAGATATACAGCCCCCGTCCCCCATTCTTAGCCCATGAGCATCATAATGTCTGCTTTCTTTAATGGTGCATTAATAAACCTTTTTTTACATCTAGAATTGCAGTTTTGAAGCATTTGATGTGACACACATGAGTGTTTATGGACCCCATTCAGACTTGGTTAAACTGCCCTACGTGCACAGCCCCCTTTCACATTACATGTACTTAGAAATATTATCGCGTGTCACATTTGGGAAGATGAATACGTCACTCCAGTTGACAGCTGGCTATTCTCCAATGACTCTCTATGTTCCCCATTCATGACTCGTGACCAGTTCTATGTGACATGCTTCAGCAGTGATGAATCACTGTTCAATTTCCTAGATTTCCTTACAAAATCATTAATTTCACTTCTGGACTGAACACTATATCTAGCCCCAACCCTAAACCTTGATTGGTGATATTTCTTGTATTTTAATGCACACCATTCACACCCTTATGAACAATATATAGAGAATATATGAGTCTGTTCAGGATAAGATTTAATTTCAGATGTAGATGGAGAATGATTTGATGCTGTTTTGGGAGGGATGCAATTCATTCTGTTCGCTGGAACGGAAAAGACCCATCACTCATAATTCTGCCTCCATCTTTAATTCTACAAATATGATTTATGTCCCAAGCATTTTTTTCCCCCCTTGCACTCTTGTCTTTCTATTTCACCTTTTTGTTTTCATTGCAATTTATGTCAAGGAGCTCTGTCAGGAGCATGTGGAGAACGAATGGGGTGATGGGATGGAGGGGCGAGGAGGGAGGTGGAGAGAGGAGGAGGGAGGAGGTGGGAGAAGGAGGGAGGAGGGTGGTGGGGGATACACAGTTGGATATGAGATGGAGGGAGGGGAAGAAATGGTAAGGGGTGGGATGGAGGGAGGGGGAAATTAGTTGGAGGGAGGTGGAGGGGGGGGGGGTATATGAAGTGGAGATGGGGTGAAGGGAACGGAGATGGATTGGAGGGAGGGGGAGGGGGTATAGGAAGTGGGAGATGGGTAGAGGGAGGGGGAGAGATGGGGTGGAGGAGAGTAAGATGGGACGAGTGGAGAGGGAGGTTTTGATGGACCTTGCATGGTGGATATTTATGCTATTAAAATATCCAATATTTTTATAATCATTATTGTAAAAAACTCCTTTAATTTCCAACATACTCATTATTTTCCCTCTCTTTTTATCATCCTTTCACAGATTTCATCAAAGAGCTAATCGTGAATTCACAAGCTGACCTTGATGACATGTTTACAAGGACATATGATTCGCTATATGAGCAGAACAAAGACTTGTTTGATGATCTTTACACAAACTTCAGGAATTATTATTATGGACGAGACATCGATCTTTCAGAGGTAAAAATTGCACTTTACGTCAATGTATTATAAATAAAATAAAAAATAAAATTTAATTTCTATATAGCGCTTAATAAAAATGTCTCTAAACGCTTTACAAATATATACTATTATACCCTAGACACATCAATGAGACCGGCGATAGACCTACCAAAATATTACATTACCCTGGTTCGTCAATATCTTGTTGCTTATCGGTCAGTTGTAGTTTAATGGTGCGACTGAAGTATGAATATTCAGTGTTTTTTGTAGAACTTGGAACTTTTCAAGGCCATATGTAAAGCAACCAAAGTGTATATTATAGAAATATATTTTGGTCACTTGCTGGAGATTCCTCTCTGGATATTTTCAGTATTATTTCCTGAAATATTCACTCTTTTACACTTTCGATAAGTTTTATCCCTTGACAACTATAGAAAAAAACAAATAAGTTATAATTTCTTTTATTCAAACCAACTCTTTAAAAATTGAAACGCATTAGCTTACAGATATCAATGATAATGACATAGCATTCAGATAAAGAAGGTTAAATAATTATTACTAAGTCAATCAATCTGCACTGTCTGTAATAGAAACCTGCTCTCAAAGACCTTTCCTTGAGTGGTCATTAGACAGAGGTATTCCTCTGTCTGGTCTACTGAGAGCCAGGAGTGTATTCACTTAGAGAACTTGAAATTGACTAAATTCCCTTCTGGATAGGATCAAACATTGCTGTATACTCTGGGTCCTATAAAGTATTGCCATTGATCTGGATTGATCACAAGTCCTCCAATCAATGTCAAACTTACAAACTCTTATCTCTTTACTAAAGAGTTGCAATTGATATCAAGTTGTCATCCATTTTAATCCGTCTCAAGTGTCTATAAGATGAGGCCCTGGGCAGCGTCTCACGAAACCTTCAAAAGTTCGACATCCCATTCAAATGCGTCTATTAAGTTTAACACACATTTCAGTGGGATGTCGGATTATCTGTGAACTTGTACTTATGACGGTTTCACGAAACGCTGCCCTGAAGAACATCCTCTTCAAGACATCCTCCCAAAGACATCCTTCAAAAACTTTTTTCCAAACCTTAATCCACCAGGTAATGGGAGACTTCTTCAATCAGTTATTTGAGCGGATATTCCAGCTTCTCAATCCCCAATATGAGTACACGGATGACTTCTGGAGCTGCACCAGGCAAGATGTCATCATGGAGAGTCTGAAGCCGTTTGGCGAGGTGGCCAACACCCTCATCGACAGGGCCAAGAAGTCGTTCGTGGCGGCCAGGACATTCGGCCAGGGACTTGGTTTCGGACGTGATGCTATAACGAGAGGATCCAAGGTATGATTGTTATTTTATCTTCAGTTATTATTTTTATGTTTAAAATTTTTATGTTTAGAATAAAGAAGGAGATTAAGCTCTGTAAAGTCACAGAAAGCTTTTGGCAGCATTTTTATGAAAGAGAAAATATACATTTTTGTACCTTAAGTGCCTCTTTCCAAATTATTTCATTCACCTGTTATGAATAATTGTATTTAATCCACCAGTTTACGGTTACAACAATGCGCATGCGCAGACATGGGTGCCATTTTAATTTACAAGTAAACAAACCAGATGACCTCTAGAGGTCAGTGGTATTGATGCGTAAATTAAGATTTCGCCAATGCAAATTATGATGTGAGCGCACAACGCAACTGGTGTATTGTCAGAATGCGAATTGCATACGTTATATGTTACGTCTTGTTAAGTAGGACAAGCCATAATATTGCCGAAATTGGTCAACCGTATTGTGATTTAAATGTTTCAATTATCTCTTGTCTAGGTGGAGCCAACCCCAGAGTGTCGGAAGGCTTTGATGAGAATGTCATACTGCCCTCATTGTAAAGGTATCCCGTTCGTCAAGCCCTGCCATTCGCTCTGCCTCAACATCATGAAAGGGTGTCTGGCCAGCCAATCGGAGATGGACGCAGAATGGAATTATTATATCGGTAAGTGGATGCAATGTTTTTGCTCCAAACTCCTATTAATAATACTGATAATAATATTCCACTTTTATTTAGCGCCCAATACATTGATACGATGTGTCTAGCGCTTTACAGATACATTATTACCCCGGTCATCAGATTCAGGCTTACTTTGTATGTTCGTGTGTCTCATTTGTCCAATGCTAACATCACTTGTTGTGAGGAGCGATGGCTCAGGGGTAGAGCTGTGGTCTCATACCCAAGAGGTCCTAGGTTCAAAGCTGATTCAATGCACTAATGCCCTTCGGTAAGGCATAAATCATCATTTCCAAGTCCTTCAGAGATGACTCAAAGCCGCCAGTCGCGTGGTTGCTTTCAAGCATACACATGCTCTCTTAGCAGTTGGGTAAAATAAACCAACCAACCAATAAAGAAGAATATGTGGATAAAGCAGCAAATGCAAGAGAGGAACCTGTGACTCAATAACATGGACATTTCTGTAGAAATAGGTACCGGTACTTTATTGTGAGTTTTTTGTTGTTAAGCCAAAAAATGGTCATGGAATTCACATTGCATCTGTTTTTAGGCAGAAAGGGGTCATATTTTGTTGAATATTTGAATGATTAATATCCTTTGGCTCTCAACAGACAGTTTACCTAGAATTCTCGATCAGGCTGGCTAACATACATGTAGGGGTACAATTTGTGTAGCATTGCATGTATTAAAGGTAAAGACCAGTTATGGTCATGCGATTGCATTGTGAAAGAAACGTTGTGGAATCGATCAGAAAAGGTTGATCATCTAGCATCTAGCATCTGCAAGGTTCTGGAATCATCAAAATGATAAGAAATTTGGCCCATTCTTCGTAAAGTTACAAGCACTATACACAGAAAGATGTATATGGGACAACCCTATATCTCTCACAGACCATGAGAGAAATAAATTTACCAAATATATGACTTAGTAGGCGGTTTCCCGGCAAATTTTTTATCATCATGTATTAGTCAAAACATATTCTTTCACATGATTGGTAAGGAGAGCTTCCATTTGATTTTTTGAAATTGGGGCGTTTCCAATACTGGTCTTTACCTTTAAAGAACATGGAAAGATATATTTACTGGATGTAAACCTAACTTATGCTGCAATAACTTTAAGAACATGGGTAGAATTTATGAACCAAAGCCAAGCAAAATCTTGAGGCTTTTTTCCTAGGGCCAGTATTCTTTTTCTCTTTCACCAGAGGGTTCAAGTTTTGGATTAAGGTTTTCAACATAGGGTTTTCTCATTAGTCTGCAGGCATATAGACACTTTGACACATGAATAATTCCATGCAGCCTTGAGGCGATCCTAACTCTCGGTCTCTGGCTCGATCGAATGACGAGCTACAGTACAGGGCCTATGGAGGGCAGAAAACAAGGCAGCCTGCATAGTCTTACAGATCAGACACCTTGTGTGATACATGATGACTGACAATTAAGGGTTTGTACCTGCAGACTAGCTTCTCATAGTGCAGTGAATCTCCAGGTGCAATGACCTTTCCCTGCGGAGGTCAATTGGTGCTATCCCAGCAGTCCTTGCAGGGGTGTTCCTGGTAAAACATATGACCTGAAACGAAAGAAAAACAAGCAGACTTGTGTTTGTGGACTTATCAAACTGTGCCAGACTAGTTCCTGATGATGATGAAGAAAAAAATCCCACCAGAATGATTCATATCAATAACATCAAATTGCTTTATAGAAAAAGTTTTGAACTTTTTTTAAAAACCATTTCATCCATGGTTATGATGTCTACTACACAAACTTTTAGAAAATATGTATTGGCTGAGGAATTATAGATTTCTTAAATTGTGGGTAGACCCCAAATGTAAGGACTTAAAACCATTCTTGGCTAGGATTCATTATAAAATATAGTCTCAAATCCTCTTAGATAAGAGTGATAATAGTAAATTACAAATTATTTCTTTGTATTCTTGAGAATCTTTGGATTTATAATTTCAGAAAGAACCAATCTTTTAGCATGATTCTTTCTTATGCGCATGGACATGTATATGATTTGTTTAGCAATAACTTTAACCTTTACCAGACCTGCTGTAGTGTATGGTCTGTTGCTGTGGTTTGTGATGTGGTTTAAAGCTAGACTTGTCTGGGTTCCTCCTAGATGAGTCCATTGTTGTCAAACCCCTATTCACACACAAGTGAAACTTTTCATTCAGCTGTGCGATATGGAATCAGATTTTTCTTGTCTGAACATCATACCAAGAATGTTCATACACATGTAGAAAAATGAGGTTTTCGGCTCTTTGCATCGTTTCTAATAAACATTTGATATGGAATCAGGGCTTATTGTTTCATTTGAACATTAGTATTAAACAAAACTAGGCAAGGTTTATAGGAGTGTGAACTGATATGACCTGCCAGCAGCAGCAATTTTGTATGCTTGAGCAATACCCATGACTTGAGACAATATTTAGACATTTTATCTTTGGAGACCAATAAGGACATTAATTCCTCAACAGAAAACAAAGATTTAAAATTGACTTCCTTGAAACTAGTTTCTCAATGTCTTGTGTGAATGCCTCTGTTGCTACTACACAGTGATTCTTCATATAATAATCATAATAATAATAATATTGGATATTTATTAAGCGCACATATCCACCCTGCAAGGTGCTCAAAGCGCTCCAATATTACCCCGGCTCTGCTAAGGCTACCGATTTCGGTATCCAAATTACGTATAAGTTAACCCCGTGTGAATGACCCGTCTAGCTTTCTGACAGAGATGAAGTATGATGTGTCATGCATCATTGGCTGAATGAAGAATGATGATGTAGGATTGTCGTGGATGATATTTGTTTGTACGACCTGCACAGAGGCATTTCAGATGAGATTATCCATGTACCTCGTCAATTTAGATAACAATTCTCGACAGGAGACAACAAGCACATACATTTACATGTCTCTGTAGTTTTCGTGAACCGATGTTTGCTTGGGCAACAATTTCAATTCACTGAGCTTTAGTTCATCAAGAGTTTAGGCTGTAAGTTAAACCCGTCCCTGGGTGTAAAATAATGTTTAACAAAAGAAAAAAATTAGACATACCGATTTTGAATGAAAGCCTGAACCCAGTATTGTTTTCAAACTTTAGTGCAGGCTATAATTAGCGATTGGGTAGAAGCATTTTACTTAAGGGTAAGGGGTAGGTGTAATTTCTGATGAATGGTTAAGTTTGAAATCTTTTTTAGTGTAGGATATTGACTACACAGTAATAATTACTGATGCATGTTTAGTACAACCTTAGAATGAATATGTTTCTCATTCATCTAAGTTGATCATACAACACTCTTTTCCCAATAACATTTCTTTTCTTTTTAAGATTTGGATTCATGTCATTGAGACAAGTTTTTGTATTTTTAATTTAGTTTAAAAATTTGGTTTAGAATGAAAAGGGTTAACAATGGAGCACCATGATTAGCTAGTCCAACTCCACCCACTTTAATAGTTCACATTAAAACCAGAAAGTTTGTAAGTTTTTATGAATACCAGACTTGGAGTCTACAATGCCATTCCATATTGAAAGTGAAAAACTTGGACAAATGTTTACTCTGGTAGGAAGCTAGTTGGGAAATAACAGGAATAACGGCAAGGAGAAGGGAAGCTGACTGCCATGTCGTTTATTTACGAAAGTACAGAGAATGGGCAGTTGAGCACATTACAGGTGATTTAGGTGTGACAAGGAAATTGCAAAAGTACAACAAATAAACTTTACCCAGGGAAATGGCTATAATATTTAGTTTACAATGAAAGAGATAAGGGAAGATTATATAGTTACGTGGTGAGTCGATGACCATAAATTAAGTGGACAAGAATATAGAACTGTAAAGAAAAATTCCCGACACAGGTATTGAAAATGATTTAGGTATGGAAAACCTTGAAAGTGATCTTTGGTAATGATTCCTAGTAGCCTTAAAAGTTGTCAGCAAGAAAAATCTATTTGTTTGCAATAGAAAATCCAAAAAGAGCCATCTGAACAGAGTCTTGGGTTGAAGATTTAGACTACATGATACCAGATACTAATGGAAAACGATTTATGATACTTTCTATGTAATAAATATCAAATGAACAGTGCATAGATGGAAGACCTAATCGGATTTCATTCTTGTACATGGTGAATAATTACTGACTCTTTGTTTTTATGTGTACTTACACCATCATTATTATTATAATTATTATAATTACTTTTAGTTTTGAACAGTTTTTATTGCTGAACTTAATGGAATAAGAGCTGTTTGGGTATTGGAGGAGTAATCGGACGAATAACTGAAACAAAGGATGATATTTAAAAATAGACAGGGGTAGGTAATTCATATTAGCACAGCTTGAGAACGAAAGTAGTCAGCACAATAGATCCTTTAGTCTATTGCTCTGTCCTTGGGTCTGATGCCATAACAAACAATACAGAGTAAAAACCTCTGTGCAAATGGTAGCTTTTCCTCTCGAGCCGTGATTCATTGCTCAAACACTTGATGGAGAAATGCAAAGTCCATTTTCTTTCACAGAAATGACAGGGTTAATTGGTATGCACATCCCTATAATCTGGCAGCAACGGGCTGTGGCATTTTCAAAATGATTTTTGAGAGGGCCGGGGAACATTCAAAACCGTCTTTAAAGCTCCTATCCATTAAAGGGACTATGTCCCATTTGCAAGCCAAAAAAATGAAAAAGTTAAATTCCAACTGCATTTGAAAGATAATACTAATTTAGAACTTCCGTAAAAAAGATGGGGCTTGAAAATTGAAGATGGGAAAATAACGACTATTAGTTGTCAAATCGACTTTAGGGCTATAGAGCCCAAAAGTAATAGTCTTGATTTTCAGACAATTGTACCGAATGGTCATACGTTTTATTCTGCGCAAAGATTCAATCAGTTTAATCTTGGCCATCACAAGAAGTGGGTTATTGATGTAGACAAATGCTCCTGTACCCTTTACAACTCTTTTCATGTATGTTATTACCAAAGAAGAAAAA